GTCTTGAGGTCAAACGGCACGAGGGCCAAGATTGAAAGCCAGAGCAAGAGAACATATCTGCGCAGCAGCATGACGACCTTCTTATGGGAAGCCAATACAAGACGTACCGGATTTCCCACGTCGCGCAGTCGTCGCGGTCTTGCGACTGCAAGAGCAGAAGCACGGGCTCGAACTCCGAGACTTCGTGCGACAGCAGCTTGACGATCGTCTTGTACCTACGAAGATGTCGTTGCATTTTCGCTCCATGATGTAGGAGCATGCGTACCCGCGGACCTTGCAGAGCAGGTAGATGACCTGGCAGGACCGGTGGAGCAAGGCGCGCTGGGTCGGATCTTGGAGCACCTGGAACGGGAACGCGACAGTGTTGCCCTCGGACGACGTCTGCAGCAGGTGGATCACGGAGCGGATGCGGGCCATGACGGGCGTGACCATGTCCCGGAGGATCGGGTCCAGAAGACCACCTTGCTCCTGGTACGGATCCAGCTACATGGACATGGGCATGATGGGTATCGTTCGGACGCGCAGGGAACGTACGAGCGCGCGGAAGCGGTCCAGAGCTTCCTCCGTGAGATCATCTTCCTGGAGGATCTCGACCAGGCGCTTGTCCGCGTGGAAGAGCTCGTTCACGGCCGTGGTGTCGGGGGCGTCGTCGTCGGTCATCAATCTTCGTTGTTGTGGGATAAAACGGCGATCCCACAACCATTTGGATTCGGCATATGCCGATTTATAGGCCCACTGAGACCTGCACACCGACGCATCGGCCTCATTTTGGCAGCCTTTTTCGCCAGCTAAATGCACGCCATTTACCATTTTCCACACCTGTTCACGCAGCGCAAAATGTACCACAAGGGAAACAACGAGTATGTGGGAATTTCGAGTCGACACGGATGGTATGCCTCCATGAAATGCGACCGCACGTTCTTGCGCTTCGGCGATCGGTGGCGTGTTCTTAGCCATCGGCAAGGGCAAGGTGCCGAATTTAGCGGTTTCCTGTGTGGCATGATATATTTTCCAGAGTATCGGATCCGAGAGGTCATATTGCCGTTGCGATGGCGAATGGCATGTGGACGCGCATGGGCGCGGGCGGAACGTCCATCATCATCGCGCCCAAGGTCGTGTCTCCGGAGCTCGAGGCGAAGATCAAGGAGTGCATCGAAGCCTTCATGCTCAAGAACAAAGACAACGCCGACGCCCGCAGCCTCAAGGTCGTGCGCCAGCACGTGGAGAAGACGCTCAGCTTGAGCTTGACGCACCACAAAGACCTCGTGAAGCGCATCATGCACAGCATCCTGCAGCGCTCGAGCATGGCAGCGGATGCCAGTATGATCGTCAAGGAGCCAGTGTGGAAGGCAGAGATGCGGTCGGCGGCGCTCGTCCCTGGCCTGCGATATCTCTACCAGATCGCCAAGTCGCCGGACGTGTTTCCCACGTGCGGTCTTGACGCAATACAGTACCTCTGCGACCTTGCCGAGATCACGGCCGAACGCGACGTGCATCGCACGATATTGGTCTTTGCGCGGCAGCTCGCGAGCCAATACCTCGACACGCCTGTCATGCCCGAATGGGTTCCAGGTACCGCGCCGACGCCATTGCAAGTACGCGCACCTCACACACTGCACATCCTCACGTCGTCTGGCTGCAGGTGCTGGATTGCATCTCGTCGGCCTACACATTTAGCTGTTGCCACATGCAGCATCCGCGGCTTCTCGAGCTGCGCTACTTTCTGAGCAACCAGATGACGCCGTACACTCCGATGGTAGTATCTCGTCGTTTTGAAACGATGAGAGTAGCTGTGATGTTATGGGCTAGGACTACTTTGGCTGGGACCCTGCGACCGCCTGTGCCCACTCGGACTCGAAGCAGTCGTGCTATCAGAAGCTCACGAACGCGCTGACACTCACATGGTTTGCGACGCGCCTGGACATTTCCATCGGTTGCACGTACGCCAGCGTGCGTTCTTCGATATGCATGCCCCAGAGAATTCACCATCGGCGTAGGTGCTCAAATGGGTCGTGACGCTGTACCCATACGCGCCACCGCACGAGCTCACGGACAGAGAGTACTTGGACCAGTGCTACTTGGTGGCGCGTCTCGTGCTGACACTGACCCACCACGGCTCGCTGCAGCTCGCACTGGTACCACAGCGCGATCTCTCTGGTCTTACGTCGCTGCGATAGGACCTCTTGCCGCACGAGTATCATTTCATGGTGCAGCACTTTGACACGCATTTGGCTCGAAGCGACGTGCACCTGATCGGCGTCTTTGCGCGGGTAGGATCGAGTGCCTCAGCTGCGACCACCATACTCATGTTGTCCGTATTGGGATGCGTAGGCGCTTAAGTGCTACCAGCCAACGCCCAAGGCCGTGCTGGAGCGCTCGATCGCATTTATGCTCTGCGTTCAGCAACCGGACGGCGGCTGGCGCCAGCGAGACGCAGAAACCTCGGAAGAGCTGGTGCACAAGGCTGCCGCCGCGCTCTTCACCCTCTGCGAGCCGCGCTTCAACGGGTACGCGCCAGCCCTCGCCGACGCGTCGATTCTGCAGCACCTCGAGCGCCTCGCGGCCACCGAACACGAACGCGTATGTGTCTGCAGTCTCGATAGAAATCTCACCGTTCGTGTGCAGCGCGTCGCGAGCGCCGAGCATTTAGAGTCGGATCTCAAGCGCAGCCGCATGAAGGCGAGTGTCCGGGAGGTGCTGGCCAAGGCCGCGACGGTCGAAGCCGCAACGCCGCTGCTTGTACGCTATCGGGTGCTCTCGGTTGTGGCGACTGTGAATGTGTGTAGGACGCCGACTTGTCGCGCATTCTGGCGCTTCTGGAAGCGACGGCCGACATGG